CAACAGAATGAACTTCAGCTTACAAACCACATCAACACAAAATGCTTAAACCACAGTTCGCAACCTAATCTGTCACTGAATTATTACTGACAAAAAAAAACCAAACCACTTTAATGTAGAACTGATTCTTCTTTTAAGAATTTAATATTACCACATCCCATCACTGGGATCTATCCCATGTACAAATGCTCACGTTGGTTGTTAACTGAAAAGAAATTCATATTGCTTATTCTTACTAATCCATGTTATGTCTCAAGAACACGAATTCTACCCTCATGGACAATAATGTATGTCCAAATGAAACACTTCAGTCCTCAAACACAAAGCAAAAGCAGAATAAAATGCAACTGTAGATGACAGTTACTCTCAGCAATTAAAGTAACAACTAGTTCAGAATGGCAATCAGCACCCCTCCGTTCTGACAAGTCAGTCAGGATTCCATCTTACACATGTAAGCAATCAAGAAAAGGAACAGCAATACCATCACTTTTCTATGTGTATTTCAATACAAAAAAAACCCAGCCCATCAGTAATTGTTATAAATTACATCTTTTCAGAGCATTTAAACTTAAGATGTACTGCAAAGTCTTCAAGTACTATCACACAGGTGACTGGCAGAGTACCACTTGTTCTAACATAAAATACACATTAATTGTTTCTACTCATGTTTTTGTATCTTCAAAGAAAGTAATAATCATTCATACATATAGTACATAAAGCGCTAAACTACATCAATTTTGGAACACACTTAAGTGAACAACATAACAGCTTCTTGCAACTGAAAGTTCTGTGTGGCCTTTCAGCTTAAAGATTCAATGCATGCAAAGTAAGTTAATTTTATAAATTGATTTGAAGTGCCCTTTACAAACAACTGCCAGCTGGAGTTATGTTTTGGTCTCAAGTAGACTGAACAAATGAGGTGTTGCTTCCAAAATCACTAAAGTCGTAAATTATATTTAGAGTAAACAATAGCGTAACCTTTGATTTTTAATTAATTTGCACATTTATCTAGCCAACTCTCCGGATTCTTTCAAAAACCATGAAACTGTCACGTTAGTTGTAGTTATCCAGAATCAAACATGGGCAAAAAGATCAACAAAAACAAACAAATAGAAAAGAAGTATCTGTTTTTACTAAAATATACAATGTGAAGTATTCATATAACTTTGAATAAGCTGCCTAAGAATAACAGCATTCAACTCAAAACCTGAATATTGTCAGAAACAAACTATAAGTTCCTTCATTTGGATTAAGAACAAGTAAGCTTAGTACAGAACAGGAAAGTTTCTTCTAGCCTAATGGAAAATCAAATGAGGAAATACAAGAAACGAGCTTCTTGGCTATGAATCTTTCAAGTATGGAAGTATGCATTGAGTATATAAGGACAGACTAGGAAGTGATAATATTTATTATATGAATAAATAATTCCAAAAGAAAGAATTGAGAGAATGTATTTAAGATTTGAAAGGTATTTTCCATTTTTAGTGTACTTTACAGAAATAACTAGTTTTCCCACAACTACTGTAAAGAAGGCTCTGTGCAAACTTGCTCAAAACGGGGGAATTAGAACCGACTCATGAACATAACATTCCCACGAAAATTAGCAGTAAAACCTGGTGAACCAAATACTACCTACTGCCTGTGGCATATTAATAAACTAAATGTACAAACTAATATGCAAAATTGTGTGCCTTCAAAAAATAACTCCATTTTAACAACTCGGGTTTTATCCTTGAACATTAGAGGTCACTGTGGGACTTCCTAGGAGCGAACCTCGGGTGCTCTCTAATAACCATTCACCACCATATTGATTTTCAGTCTGGGATTTGTGACAACTTCAACTGCCATATAAACTTCTCAGGTCTAAGGAATAAACAAAGCGACTAAACCCAAATGCTCTGAGGGATACATAATTAATAATTTTATTGAAAAATGAACAGTAAAAGCTACATTATAACAGCAAAAAGTTATGTTAGTATTTGCAGATCAATTAATTTCTGGTATAAACTGGTAACTTTTTGACAAAGCAAGTGACAGAGTATCCAAGGAGCCATTCCCCCTTGTATCTAAGCCTCTTTAAAAACACACCAGTCCAAAGTACAAAATCCCTTTGATAGGGAGAGCAACACGCTATTTATACAACTCAGGACCTGGTTTCTCCAGCAGTTCGGGTCTTGCTGTGTACATTCCAGGCAATTACAGTTGATATTCTTCCTTTGAAACTGACTCATATTTCTCATCTTCAAAGACTAAATGATTTCAGTTGAAAAACAAGCAAAAGATCACCACACTTCTGTAAAACTAAAAATCTTCATTCTGCACTCACTAATACTAGTTCCAGATTTATAGAACTAGAACTTTCAGGTTTCAGCTTGTCCAATCCTTATAATTTATACAATATGAACCCTAAAGGATATATTTTTCAACTGAACTTGGTTCTAGAATTTCAATGACTCATTTTCAATTGTGAAAATTATGTTATTTTCAACAGAAATTCCAATGCACTGGAACTAGGATTTGTTTATTCTTGCCAAGATGTCAATATGGATGAGAAACCTCCAAAAATTTTTTACCAATTAATAGAAAAATATATGTTTTGACCATTATTTAGAACAGCAGCTAAATTTAATTGATCCAGAAGGATCTTAATATCATGCAAAGCAGATGATGTGGAATATAGAGTAATTGTTTTAAAATGATAATGTACTGTTGAGCTAAAAACAAACCATAAGGATTCAGGTATTCCAGAAATAGCTGGGATCTGTGGCACACTGGTCAACTTACAGAGACCTCAACACAAAATTCCACCTGTGACTGCAAATCCTATTTGAATCTCAAAATTATTGTTCAGCACAATTCAAATGTTATTCTCAAGGATCTGGATATCACCCACTGCTTTTCAATGTATAATGTGTACAGTTATTTCCCATCTATTTCGGCAGCAAAATTATTTTGATAATCAAATAGAAGTTACATAGAAGAATCTGTAATTTTAAAAGTAAAATAAATTAAAGATTCCTAGAACTTTCCCAATTGCACTAGCTAAAAATGTTACTTTTTGCAAAATCCATGTGCATTCAGTTACAAAGCTACATATTGGAAAAACCAAGCCTAATTCTAAAGTTGTCTAAAGACATTATTTCATTTAACCTGAAAACCCCTGAGAGATCTTGTCTTCCAAGCATATTCTGTTGACAATTAATTGCTATTTTCTTCCCAACTGAACAATGAACAAGTATGTGTGCACATACGCTTTTGGGGGAACAAAAAAGAAAATAAAAATGTCCTGGTACAAGAAAGTTATCTAGAGAGACGAGAAGCAGCTTTCCTAAATCACCTATCTCCTTTTTTTGGTATCTCAATGAACCCAATTAATTCCAGTTCAATAGAACAGCAATGATATGATATGAAAAAAAAAAAAAATCACAATGGAATACTGGCTAATTAAAAGATATTACAAGGTTAGAGTCTACTTGGTGTTCAGCTACAGTTTTTCTATCTAAGCTTTGCGCTGACTTCCAAAAAAAATTAATTTTCCTTAAAAAATGGTAAGAACACCACAGAGACACATCAACGAACTGGCTGAATCTCTTCACCTACAAGCATTGTGGCCTTTATACAGAGAAGCATTAACCTAAGAACAGACTGAAGGAGAAGTACCAGACATGTAAAAGCAGCCTCTTTAAGATATATCATTATAAACTGAAATAATAATTTCTATCCCAGATGTCCAGGATGTAGGGTAACAGGAAAGCTACTCCATTAGGATCCTCGAGAACTGCCATTAACTGTAGTCCTTATAGGACAAATACAAGATCTGATAGAAATTTAATGAAGCAGGAAAATATGTTAAATAAGAATTATATTCAGTCCAGGACCAAGAATGGACCGTAGCACAAGTCCCAGTTGCAGATAAAATGCAAGTGAATTGCAGAGCACAACCACAAAGTCATGTTGAAGCCTCTGTTCCGTCCCACACAAACAGATGCTGCTCATCCTTTTTCACCTCTACCTTGCAGCATGGCCACGACTTCCTCCCCTTAATCATAGAACGGTTTGGGCTGGAAGGGACCTTAAAGATCATCTAGTTCCAACCCCCTGCCATGGGCAGGGACACCTCCCACCAGACCAGGTTGCTCAAAGCCCCATCCAGCCTGCCCTTGAACACTTCCAGGGCTGGAGCTTCTCTGGGCAACCTGTTCCAGTGCCTCACCACCCTCACTGTAAAGAATTTCTTCCTGATGTCTAATCTACATCTAACCTTTTTCAGTTTGAAGCCGTTACCCCTCATCCTATCACTACCAGCCCTTGTAAAAAGTCCCCCTCCAGCATCTGTAAGCTCCCTTCAGATACTGGAAGGCTGCTATGAGGTCTCCCTGGAGCCTTCTCTTCTGCAGGCTGAACAACCCCAACTCTTAGAGACAGAACAACGCTTCACACCACTCGCTTTGCCACTTCTTTTTAATCCACCCCTTCCCCACTGTGCATCAATCGATGGGTAACTTAGAAGAGGAAAGGGTAAGGGAGGAACCCCTCTCCGACGAACCGGCAGCGAGCTCTGGGGCATGGCAGGGCCTTAGGGGCGGCTCAGGGACACGCTGCCCGGGGACACCCGCCCCTTCCCTCCCCACCGGGCGGCTCCTCAGACCCGTCCCGCCCCCCTGAGGGGAGAGGCCCCGCGACCGCCAGGGAGGCGGGGTCCCCTTGGCGGCCGACAGCCCCCTCCCTCCCCGCCCGGAGGAGGCGGCTCTCGGCTCCGCCGCCTCCCAACCGCACCGCGGGGCGGCACCGAGCGCCGGGCGCCTGTCCCGTTCCCGTCCCCCCCCCAGTCCCCTCTCCTCAGGCCCGTCCCTGCTCCCTGGGCCGCCACAAGGTTTCCCCCCCCCGCTTCTCCCGCCGCTTCCTCGCCCCGCGCTCCCCTCCCCGCCCCGGCTCTCCGCGCTCTGAGCCCGCCCGGCTTCCGTCGCTCCACCCGCCTCCCGCCGCCTCTCCCCGCTTACCTCTTCCTCCCTTCACCCGGGGGGGGTGGAAGGGCGGGCCGGCGGCGCCTCCGCCCGCTGTGACGTGGGCTTAACGGCTGCGGCGGCGCTGCGCGCGGCGTGAGGCGGCCGCGGGCCCTGCCGGGGCTGGGCCGCCGGGAGCCCCCTGGAGCGGCCGCCTCAGGGCTGGGCACGGGGCGACGGCGGCCGGGCTGTGAGCCTGCTGGGGGGCTGTGAGCCTGCTGGGGGGCTGTGAGCCGGCGCGGGCTGAGGGTTGCACCGGGCGTTTGGCTGCGGCCTGCTCGGGACAGCGCCGTGCAGGCCCTGAGGCCTGGATGGTTTGCCTGGTGTCCGACTGGCCCCTTCACAAAAAAATAACGCGCTTAGACTGATCTTTTTTAAGCGCTGTGCTTGCAGTTTGTGTAAGAGTCCCCAGAAACCTGAGGCCGTTGGATTGCAGCAGCCGTGATTCCCTTCAGTGATGATGGGGGTCCAAATACACAAGGACTCTACTGTTTCAGCTGTTTTTTGGCACTTTACAATAAACTACTGTGAAAATTAATGTGTAATATTGGGAGGTTTTACATAATGCTGCAGTATAAGCCAGTTCTGTAAGCTGCATATATTGTAATCCACACAGGAAAATGCAGGGGTTTTGTTCAGCTGGTGAGTTGCCTAGTGCATGCCAGGTTTCTGGTGGCAACCACATCTGCTGCACATCAGACCTGGCTGCATCGCACTTCCAGCCCTGTGTCCATGGATGGGGCTTGACTTTTCCCATCTGCACTCGGGTTTGGGATTTCACAGATGGATTGGTTGTTCTTATCATCTGCCATAACGAGTGCGGGTGCCAGTAAAGTCCGAAGCAGGACTATAGTTTTTCCAGATAGTTCATGTACCTTCAAGAGTTGATGGGCAAGTCAATGGCAGAGAAATTCATTAAGAGTTATTATGCACATAGAAACTACCTCTGGCTCAGGGTGTCCCTAAGTAGATGCTGGGAGGTACTTCTACTGGTCAGGCTGCTGTCGGAAACAATGTACAATGGGGCCTCTGCCTGACTCTTTGCAGCCACTTATTTGTAATTTATGATTAAAATATTATTTTTAAGTTCAAATGTAGAGCTGTTATAATTGAAATGATCCTGACTTTGAAGCTCAGCTATGAAAGTGTGAATGCTAAATTGTCTGTAGTCTGACCATGGCTTTTTACAGACGTAGAATATTCTCTCTGCGGTTTTTGAGATAGGAGTTGACTATCTAAGAAGACAATACCATACAGTATTTATTAATGGACCGAGTTGGAAGACGCACTCTAAGATATTTTTTAGTACATAATTACTAAATTATGTATACATAATCTATACAATTTCTTGTTACACACTATCCCAAACACAACATGCCCAGCCTCTTGTCAAAACTGAACCTTTCAGCAATGCTTACAGCTTTTAATTATTAAAAATAACATTTTCACAAAATGACAGAATTACCTTCAGTGTGATTTTGTTTGCTGAAATAACAATGTGATGCCAACATATTTGTTGCCTAGTGTAAGCCAGTGATTGTTACCCTATTTCATTTTTTGTTTTCCCTTGACATGTTTTTAAATAAGCATTAACTTTACAATCAAATAATCCTTACTAACTTTGTTGTTGGTTACCCTTTGTTTAATGCATTATTTGTTTAACACATTTGAGTTGTGTGTTCACTGTAAGATTATACAATAAGATTTTGCTGCATTGCACAGGAATAAATACAGTATTCGACCACTGGCATCCACCATCTTCACTTTAACCACCCATAATATAAAAATTTTAACTGGGAAATCTTCGCAAAATTTTCAGAAATATTGCTGCAAAACACAGTATTATACTTTCAATTATAATGTTAGAGAAGCATCACGGGAATGTGCCTCAAAGTTTCTTTGTGTTCAAAGCTGACAATATGAAATATTTCCCAATGAAACTCTTACGCTGAAACTCTTCTGTGATTAAAGACTTTTGCTGTAAACCTCTCAAGATCAAATGATGGCTTAGCAGAAGTTTTCTTCATTTTGAAATTATGTGTGTGCTAAACAACAAGCAGGAAATACCCATTCTCATTCTTCATTTATTTGTAAATAAAATTATATGTATCAAAGCCGATACTTAAGTTGCCAGCTGCAAATGATGCATTACCAATATCTACGCTGTTCTATTTTTCTTCTTTTTTTTTAATAAGTATTCCTACTGCCACTTCATTGCTACCTAGAAGTAGAGAATAGTTTATTTTGCTTTCAGCTCTAACAAATAGCTACTGAGAATGTTTTGCTGCTTCCATGCTTTGATGCATCAGTGGCTGAAATAAAGAAAGCCTGCCCTTTTCACCCGCCTCTTCAATTGCTTCTCAGCTGAGAGTACCATTAGAGCGTTCTTGGCAATCCATAAAACTTTTGTACCACCGTATCCATTTAAAAGACTCTCAGCAGACTGTGGCCAGCTCTGTGCTAAAACCACATTTAATTCATTTTTCCCTAGCTTGATTTCATTTTGCATTTTAAGAGCATGGAAAATCTATAGGAAGATACCTAAGACCTGCTTGGAGTTAAAATCGAGGGCCATACATTTGCAAATACAGCTATCTGTAGGGTAATTAAGGTAATTATCTTCCTCCATATAGTAAAGGAATGAATGTTTGAGTGGTGTTGAGCCTACTGTTCTGAGGAGAATATTGGGCTGGGTCAGACAGCCTGAGTGCAGAGAAGGTGCTGTGAGAAAAGGGCATGGGCACGGAGGACACAGGATCAGGAAACCTGAATGGCCTAAATGGATATTGCAGATGAACGCTTCATATCGTGCCCAAGGGCAGCAATGAATGGTGCGGCACAAAAGAGGGCAATAAAATCCTAAACCTGCTATCGTACTGCAAATAAGTGATCGTGGCATCTTCGGTGTTATTATATTACTACACATCTCCATTTTATTACTCGACTAGGCACCTAGCCCCCGCTAGCTTCTGGGCTCTGATAAATGGCTTGTGATAAAGGATCGCACGCTCATTTTTGTGGGTTTTTTTTCAAATGCAAGTTTATATTCAGTGGGAGTTATCTACCCACAGATACATAATATCTATATATGAACTATTTGTCTAAATTTCCTGTATGCCAAGGAGGTGACACAGGGTCCTTCTAGGACAGGGTTAATCTCATTCACATGTGGCTATCGCAAAGAAATCAGAGAAATCACATTTTAGAAGAGCCCGTTTCTCCTCAGTTGCTCACATACAGGACACTCGCCGTGGGAGGAGAAGCATCCCACCCTGCCTGTGCCAGAGTTCCCAGGGACCCAGCTGAAGGCTGGCACCAAATACTGGAGGGAGCGGAGGCCAAGCCTGAGTGATGTGTATACCTGTGCACTTACCCGTGGGTCAGTGCTCTTCACTCAGGGGCAGAAATAATCTGTTTGGGTTGATTATGACACTGTATGGAAGTTACCATATAAAGATCTTTGGACAAACATTTCTCTTCCTCGCTGCTGATACTCTTTTGACCATCACATATTGTTTACGTTATGCCTTGTACATACTGAAACACAACCCGGTCAAAGTAAAGTAGATTTTGCTTCCAGTTGGTCAGGCAGGCAGCAGAGCATAAAACTCTATAGTGACCTCTCCATCAGGGAAAGAGAAGAAACCAAACACAAGAAAATTATTCCTGAAATCCTGTCATTGGTCAGTGAAACTGGCGTAATCTTTGAAGGGCAGAAAATTACATAAATACTTACAACAGTCACCTTCATTGCGTGGGTTTTCCTCAAGGAATGGTTGTTACCCTCAAATTCTTGTCATAGGAAAAAAGGAAAGAGACATGACTTGCAAAGTCAAGAGTTTATTGTCAGCGAAGGTAGAATCTCGACAGGGTAATAAAAGTATTAATAGTCTACATCTTTTCATTAGAGGAAAAGAAAACAGTACTATTTCAGGGGCAAAAAAATCTCAATACTGATATGGTTAAAATTCTTCTACAAACTTTCTAATGTCCACCTCTGTTTCTGGTGTTACGCTTCCCCTTCTGTGGCCTCCATGGGTGCTAAAGTGGTTTAGTTCATTGTGCTGGGAGTTGTTTTTTTTCTCCTTGTTATCCCTAGAGCTGACTTTCCCTCTGCGTATTTTTAACTGACCTCCAGTAACTTGTTTATAGCCCTGGAGTTTCCAGTGTCATCTTGCACCTCCCCCAACTCCTCTCATACCAGTCTGTAATCCCCTGCATTGCTTTAGTATGGTAAGGGCACAAACATTTCATTGTAACAAGCGACTGCTTATTACCACTGTCTATACAAAAAATGTTATGGTTGTATCACGACAATTATATGAAATCACACAGAAGTAAAAGATATTAGACAATAACCACCTGATCATCAGAAAATTGCTGTTACAGGGTAAAAAAAAGCTAAAGCAGAGTTGCAGGCTTGATAAAGCAAGCTCAACAAAGCCCAACAGGTCCTGAGAATTTGCAGTGAGTATGAAGCTCATGTTGTGGTACCAGCCATAGCAATACTGTATGTACTGAGCTACCAGGTCCTACTGAGATGGGTCCTGCATATTCAGAAATGTGAAATTACTTGTCCCTTAATATTCTTCAATATATTTAATCAAGAATAACTAACAGCATTCAATTCTTAGGTGTAATGTGTAAACCCTTATCTTCCTTTTAAGTGAGGAGTAAAGGTTACAAAGGTTAGTAGCAATAAATAAATATAAAGTGATCATTGTAGATTACTGGTTATTAAATGCTTGGCATAAAGCAGACAGCAGTTACTTTGCTATTTCATACAGTACGTTCTTTCAGCGCTGCCAAGTTTAAAGGGTTACATTTACCTGAGTGGAGTCAGTATTTCTGTGCTGTCCTTTCTCATTATAGAAGCTTATTTCTGAATCATTTCTCCTGTACATGCAATTTTAAGGTGTGTAATTAACTGGTTGCAAGTTGTTACGCAGCTGATGAACTGTGAACGGGGCACTGATTTGTTTTCTTTATTTACATGTTTCCTATAATACTCTGATAAAAGCAGGATGCTGAGGCTTTTCTACCCTT